GCAGTTTAGGCCTGCTATGTTAACTCTTTTCTGTACAACTACCTAACAAAGAACTGTAAGAGTCTCAGTATGTTGTAACAATAAACATTAATTTTTGCTTGGTGGTGCTAGGCTAGACTTCAGGCTTTGTACTGGGTTCAAGTCTGTTCACAGATCTTCATAATTCCAGGAACTGTGGCTCCTGCAGTCATGTTCTTCTCACGGCAGGTGGCAGAAATACAAGAGAGCAAGCTAAATCATGCAAACAATTTTAAGGTCTCTGCTTACATCACACCTCTTAACATTTCATTTGCTAAAGTCAGTCATATAGCTAAGATCAACATTAGTGAGGTGAGAAAATATACATCTACTCTAATAGGGAGAAAAACCACACGGCAAAGGGTATGAATGTACAGATCCCTTACAGAGGTTTTAAATAATTGGGAAAAATAATCCAATCTACCACAGTGCCCTAGGGATCTCACCAAACTCAGAGGGCAAACGAGGTTGGAAGCATCATCTTACCACTTTTGAAAATGATATTTCTTAGTTTGTTCATTAGTTTATTCCCACACCTATGCCCAAAGGAGCCTTAAAGCAGACAAGAAAGAACATGGAATTTTAGCAATATTCTATGCAAGTTCTTTAGCAATATAATAATAAAATTAATAATAGCTAACATTAATGAGTGCTTACTATATGTCAAGAGTGTTACATGCATGATTTCATTTAGTCCTTGGTTGATGTCATTATTTTTCCCATTTTAGATATGAGGAAACAGAGGCCTAGAGACTTGCCCAAGGTCCTAAAGCTAATAAATGGTGAAGCCAGGATTTGAATCCAGGCAGCCTAGATCTGGAGCTTGTGCTTTTAACCAGTAGGATATTTTAAATGGAATGCTTGGGCATATATGCTAGATTACAATGCTTCAATATTGGAGTATAAAAGTATGTCAGAAACATGGAAGCACCACCAAATTTTCGCATGGGCTCAGGGAACTAAGATTTAATATGTTAAGAAAAGAAAATTTTTATCTTACTCAACTAAAATACTAAGAAAACTTGACTTTTTCCTTACAGCAACAGGTCAATATACCACATAGTTCAACCGTTTAATTTCAATCTTATTTAAATTCAAATATTCCTTGACTTTGAAGAACTGCTAATGAATACACTTCATTGATCAAAATAATCTTCAAAGTTTCTAAGCCAGCTTGCCTTTCTACTTTCTAGACTAGATAAAGTATCTGCTACACATACCATCTCCTATGATTCTGTAAAGGCCATGTTTTTTCAGTCAAGAAAAATGATCACAAAAATCTTCCATTTTCACTAAACAAGTATATTCAAGACTGTGTTCAATAAACAATTTAACTACTAAGAAGTTTATCCTTTATGAAGCAAGAATTCTGTAATGCAAATATACTTCTATCACATCCAGAGTTGCTAGTCCCTCCCTCTATGGTTATGGGGGGGTGCATTTTAATTACAGACACTCATTTCTCTTCAATTGTTTTCTGAGCTTAATGAACAATGAAAGTACTGTACTACTTATCGGAAATCACTAAGAATCGAACGTCGAAAGGCATGTTCCTGCAATAAGCAATGGTCTGCTAAGTGTCTCATTTGAAGATGAGTAAATGCTGCTGTAGGAATTAAGTCTAGGGTCTGTCTGACAGAATAGATTAAGAACCCATTGTAGGGAATTCAGAGGGTTACCAAGAACACAAAACGTTATCTAGATGTACTCAGCCTGTAAAAAACAAGATATATAAGAGAGAACACTTCTATCTTCAAAAAACACAATTACCTAAAACAGACTAAAGGTTGAAAATGAAAAGAAAAAAAAGGACATTAACAAATGTCAACTAGTCAAAAATAAGTTTGAAAAAGTGAAGTGTGATACCTTAGTCCAAACATGAAAAATGAGGAGATACACACTGTATTTTTCCATAATGCCCAGGGCATTTGGAACTAAGGAACAGTTACTCAGAGAAAGAGGAAGGTACTTAGTTCAACTGTTTTGGTTTTTAATAATTCCTCACTTTCTCTGCTGGTTTTTCAAGTGTTTTGCCACTTATCTAAAAAATATGATGACACTGGCTTGTGAGAAATACAAAATCAGGAGCTCTAAATGGATTTATGAGATTCTTCAGAAGAGAGAACAATGATACAATGGAAAGCAGGAACTGCTGGCAGATTTCCATTTAAAGTAAAGCCAAATTTCAAATATTTTAGTGGAAAAAGAGTCATATACACCTCTTTAATTTCGTAAGTATAAATTATTTATCATATCAAATTATCCATATAATCTAACTTTAACAAATAAATTTTTCCCGTGGGAAATATTTCAATATTCATAGAGTGATTTTTTTCTCTTTTTAAAAAATTAATTAATTAATTTTTATATGTGTTGGGTCTTTGCTGCTGTGCTCGGACTTTCTCTAGTTGCAGCGAGCGGGGGCTACTCTTCATTGCGGTGAGTCGGCTTCTCACTGCGGTGGCTTCTCTTGTTGCAGAGCACGGGCTCTAGGCGCAGGGGCTCAGTAGTTGTGGCTTGCAGGCTCTAGGGGACAGGCCCAGTAGTTGTGCCACACGGGCTTAGTTGCTCCGCGGCATGTGGGATCTTCCCGGACCAGGGCTCGAACCCATGTCCCCTACATTGGCAGGTGGATTCTTAACCACTGAACCACCAGGGAAGCCCTTCATTGAATGATTTTTAATAAAATTAAAATTTCACTCTTAAGAATATTAGTTACTATATGAATCCTGTGTGGACTCAAGACTAAATGGCCTACGCTATTTTCAGTTATCACGTTAGGCCTTATACTCTACTATTTACTGTTAATGAAGATTTGAAAAAAATAAAAGAAGTAATTTCTTAACATAAACTCAACTTCAATATAATTAACAAAGTAACATATTCATTCATAAAAATCAGTGAAAAATTTAATATGGATGAGAAGTCTTTCTTTTAAGGGGTAACACTTTTCAGAAAAATTCCCAAATAAGGTAAGGTATTCCTCCCAAGATATCACAGCCAAAACCTAAGCATAGGAAAGTCCCTTAGAGGACATCCAGGGCAAACTCCTACCCATCTGGGAGAAATTCCTGCTACAGCATTTATAACAAGTAGCTTTCCAGAGTCTGCATGAATGCTTCCAATGATTGAAAGGTAGGGTTTACTATCCATGGCCCAGCCTGTGCTATTGCAGGTGAGCTCTGATTGTGGAAAAGTTCTGCTTATTGATGAGTAGAAATCTATATTCTTAAATTTTCAATCCACTGAGTATAGTTCTAGCATCCACAAGAACCTCAAATTCCAATTCTTCTGTTCCCTAATTGGAAGTAGCTGAGAACAGCATGGCAAGTCCCATCACGCCGTGACTTGCAGGGGGAAGAGGAGGAGGATGGTGGAGACAAGTGACAGAGCAATGAAAAAGGAGATGGAAGACAACCAAACATTTGGTTCACAAGGATATCTTATGTCAGATTCAGTGCCAAACAGAATCCAAGACTACAAAAGACAATGGGCATATGCATGTGTATGTATGGATTTGTGTTTGTGTATATGTGAGTATACAGTAGATGCATGTATGTAATACGTGTAATGTATGTGTATGCATGTGAGTATATATACATGTGTGTATGTATGTGAGTATGTGTACGTATGTGTGCGTGTGCACATGTATATGTGTGTATAAAATGCCAAGTCAGCTAACAGGAAAATTTTCAAACTATATATGAGGAAATGCAAACATCGGGTTTTTAGGATATTTTTAACAAGAATATAAAATACACACATCTGCTAAGCACTGAAGGAGTTGTTAACAGACTAGAGAGGATGAAAGGGAGTCAATAAACCTATGTTTATATTATGGTAAAAATATGGTTATTTCAAAATATCTGAATAATTAAATGTCAAGCTTATTATCTAGACATTTGCTATCAAGTAGACAAAGAAGTTCCCAATGAGTAAATAAAAATCAACCAGATCACTCTACTGGGTCTGTTTCTGCAAATTTCTGACAGGATTCTTAGCATGGCACAGTGTGGACCAGCCACGCTGCACCTTCCTGGCTGTGGGTCAGGATTTACCCTCTCAGTTCCTTTCTCCACTTGCCCGTCTCTAGGCCTCGGAGAACTGAAAGGCAGCAACTCCTCACAAGAAGTCTGGGCTCTCCGGAGGTAAATACAGCCCCCACTGGCAGCATGTTCAATCATTAAAGAAGAGCGAAAATATGCTGATTAGATCTCAAGACAAGAAAGAGAACAAACATGCAGACAATTTTCCCTCAAACACAGAAATGAAAGAAAAAAAAGGGTTTGGGTAAATTGTCAGGATATCAATTTAGCAGAACACAATCTAGAATTAATCAAAATGTTACTAAATTTTATTCACCAAAAGTGATAAAACTATATTCAGATCTAATAAGGTAAAATAATAAAACTATACAAACAGTTTTAGCTACCATAAAATTGGAAACGACTAACTGGATAATTTAGTAAGTCTTTTTCTAGGTAATACATAAACCCATTCCAAATTGTGTAGCCTGGTAAAATACAAAAATTATTCATCGTGACTCATTAGGCAAAACTGGCACACCACCTGTCTTTGTAAATAAAGTTTCACTGGAACATGGCCATGCTCATTCATTTGTTGCCTATGCCTATTTTCATGCTATAACATCAGAGTTGAGAAGCTGTGACAAAGACTATTACGGCCCACAAAGCCTAAAATATGTACTATCTGTTCCTTTACAGGAAAAATTTGCAGACTCCTGCCCTATATAATCATGGATCCTAAAATAAGCATGTAGGCCACATTGCTCAATCATGATAGTTTCAAGGGAGGAAAGAACTTTACTGTCTTTATCATGCAGGTCTCCTTTGTTACAAACCATTAAAAACCACCAACAAAAAAGAGTTGCAAAAAAATGTTCCAAGCGTTGTGAAGGTATTTTACAGTTTGGAGAAATGGAACAATTGGTTCTTCCTACTTGTTTTGTTGGTTTTTCCTACCTGTTTTCCTTCCTCTTCATCTGAAGAGTTACTGACATGGATACTTCTCCTGGGTTGGTAACCTTTCAACTTTTCTTGAACGGACCAGTTGTTCTTTTGGTCTGTTGTACTTTCCTCATCACTTCCTGGGTTATTTTTCCATTCTTTCATCATTTCTAACACATTGGTTGGTCTCACCGAAGAAAGTATATTGCCCTAATGTTAACAATAAATTTTTGGTGTTATAAACAGTTTAGAAAACGGAAGACTCTTACATATTTTAGTAATATAGTCTCACAAATTCAGTAAGTCACATGGAAAAATTATAATGCTGAATAAATAGCAAAACTTTGGATGCCCTTTTGAGCATACTCCTTGTACTGGCACGTCTCAGACCTCTTCACTAATACTTTTACAATATGACAAAATTTAGGGATGGGAGAATATTCTGGTTTAAAAGAATAGTGCAGCATGCTTGTGTGAAAGAACCACTAGATAGGGCAAGTTCCTGGAATCCAAAGACCCCCTTACAGTGCCGTTCCTAGAAAATTAATAGGGAAGCTGAAAGAATGAAAGAAGTTGCCCAAAGTCTACTGGGTCCAACACTAAGGGTAAGCCTATATAACATCAAAATGTCTAGGTAAAAAATCTAAATTCAGTTGATTAGTCCGGTGCCGTGTCCAAGAATACAGATGTTTGACTTGAAAGCTCTTAGTTGACTGGAAGATTTCGATATAATGTGGTCATTTGATTACAATGGATTCCGTGCACTGTTTTAACCCCAGATGTGGCTATACCATACTAAAATTGACCATTTTATATTAACTATATTTTTCTCAAATATAATATTCCATTTAATGCCAAGAAATGCATGAATGCATTCTTAAATGCCTCCTGCTAGACTAGGTATGCCTTAAATAGTTTTGCTCCTAACTCAGACTAGTAGAGAAAGTTTGGACAAGAAGTTTGGATCACATTTAGATTAAAACAGGACGTTTAGGTGTGGGAACAACTATGGAGTGATCTAAGTTAATTTGATATGTGGGTGGATTGAAGCATTAAGCAACAGTGATACAGAATAGTACAAGGCCAGGCATCTTAAGGGCAGCCATCTGAGTACACTGCTGAGGATTTGTAGAGTTCAGTATGTTCGTGGTTAAAGACACAGACAAATACTAAGCATGGGGAATAATTAAATGAGGCTCATTATGCTATTCGTTCCCTGTGGTTCTTCTACGTCATCCTGTTTTTAAAAGGTCTATATTCTTACTACTTTCATAGCATCCTACTTTTGGTTGCACTTCTGCAGCCTCTACCCATTTACTCCCAGAATGCCTTTACTATGCCTTCTGCCAACCCGTAGCCGACATTTCCGTCAAGGCTCAAGTTGACAGTCATCTCCGTCAAGTATCCCAGAACTTCCAAAGATGTTGTCAACTTAAACGAAGCACAGATGAAGTCTCAGAGAGCAAAAAGGAGTTGAAACTGTTTAGAACGGCAGATAGTCTCAGAGCTCTCATCTCAATGAGTTCTGATCTTCAGGGCTCTGTCAACAGCCCTGCTTGACCCCAGTGACTCATCTAGCCTCTATTACAACTTCCTGGCTTCATCATGACCTTGAACACTAACCCACAGTGTCCAGGCTCCTGGAATACTAGTACACACAACTTTGCCTCAACTTAATTCTTTCATTAGAAAACAGAGACAATCTGACATCTATGTCTGTAATCCCGGTCCTCAATTGCTCTTCCCTGATAAACTCTCTACAAGTTAACTCTTTGGATCTAGAGTCATTTCTTCTAGGCACATAGTAGAATTTTGCTTCTCCACCTCTTTTGGAACATGATGATATGACTTGTTTTGACCAGTAAAATGTGATTTGAAATAGTGTGTATCACTTCTGCATAGAAACTTGAAGAGAGAGCATGTAATTTACATGTTCTCAATTTCTGCCTTAGTAACTATAGAAGCACAGAGATGGAGCCTCCCTCAGCCTGGGTCCCTGAGTGAAGACAAAGTAAAACAGAGCTTGCTTCCCTCCTCCCAGCCAATGTGCAATGGAAGGCATAAACAGCACTGAGATCTGGGGGTCACTTGTTACCACAGCATAATCTAGCTGATGTCCTGATATAGACAGAAGATTAAATATTTACACTCTGTAAGTCACCTCCAAAAAGCTTTATAAAGAGTGAGCCCACTATATAATCAGCATACCCAACAAAGTTGTAATTACTACCCAAATCATATGCCATCAGTACCATGTGATAGCCAATTTATTTAGGCAGTCTTTGCTTTGCACAGTCCTGATATGCATGAATTTTACTCAACATGACTTAAATAATATCAGTCCCTCAGCAACACAGTTCAAATTTCAGTCACCATGGTACATCAACTATAATTGCATAAAGTTCAAACTTCACTGCTAGCTCTTCAATCCACGATCACCAGGTAAATTACAGATTTGCATCACAATCAGTGACCAATCACATCACTTCTTTCACAGTCTGTTGGTGATTGGACACTGTGCATCTGCTATTCAGTTCACACACAGACAGCAATGTGTGCAGTTGTGCTGCCTCCTTGTCTCGCAGGGAACTTGCCAACAAAAATGAAACTGCAACAAACAAATTAAAAGTGATAATACTGGGAGTAAAATTTGAATCAAATGTAAATGGAGTAATAGAAGAAATAGCTGACCATGGGAATGCTGCCACTGCCACTGTGAGAATCTAGATGTGCAACCAAAGGAACTTAGTGAAGGCAAACTTATCAACATAAATGAGGAAGGATGAAGATGCTTCAGAGAAAATGACACCCACAAAAAAACTTGACATTTAAAGAATTTTCAGAGATATTCAAGACATTGAAAAGACAAAGGATACAATGTTGGAAGTTGATCCAAACTTGTAAAACAGTATGACAATTCACCAAGGCATAAAAAAGATGCTCCCCTCTGTATGATAAGAAGAAGGCAAGCACTGTTTAAAGTAATCTTGATAAGTTTTTAACCCCAAAATAAGATACTTTAACTCTCAATATTAAATTACAGTGCCAAAAATTTAGCTTTACTTTTATTTCATTCTCTCTCTATATTTAGAACCAACAGTTAGGGAGTTTTTAATGTTTAACAAAAAATTTTAAAGGGCATGGAAAAATCACAATTTTTCCCATTGATTATTAAAATCATTTTGCACAGCTTCAGTCTGCACTATTTTTATGGCTCTGCACTCCTGTGCAAAGCAAGGATTACCTGTACTATCTTGAATCTGCATTTCTAGCCAGCTTTCAAGTGCTTGGTTCACATATATCAATATATACACACAAAAGCATGGTGACCGACACGCTACAAATGACTCTATTTCTTATTGCAAAGAGACTGGGGAGAAGAGCAAAAGATCTAGAATAGGGTCATTATCCCATCAAAAACGCTCTACCATTTATAAATTTTTAACTATTTGCTTCCTATATTCCCTTGTGATGTCAAACAGGGCACAAATGTTGGTATAGATTCCAGACTTTCCCTCTTGTCTGAAGTCCAGCCAATAACTTACCAGACTAGCCCCTTCTTGCCTGCTAACAGTTGGAGGAAGAATTGCATCAGATACTTGGACTGACCAATGAATAAGTGGCCCAGAGCTGTGTGTCATGAACCTTCTAGGCTCAAGAGAAATTACACATGAACCAACCAAACAAAAATGGGTGGAATTGTTAGGGTAGACACTGGAGATTGTGGAGACACCTCACCACCAGAACAGTAACCTCTTAACTCCCTTTACTGGCTGTGTTAAGAGGGGTCACACCCTGAACTCATCAACCATGAAGCAGCAAATGGCAAGAAGGCAGCAGTAACAGGCTGATAATCTGAGGCTATCATAAGTAGAAAACCAACCTTTTTGTTAATAAATTTCCACTTGTTTAACTAACAGTTTGAGATGACTTCATTTTGAAAAACTGGAAAAATGAACACTCACAGAGGAGAAGCATTGGTCAAATACTAAGATTTGGATCTTAGTAGACAGGTCCTGCAAATAGGAACCCAAACATACATCCTCATCTAACAAAATCTGCCTTTTCAAGGACAGTGCCTATCAGTATTCTGTAAACAATAAGTCTTTTACAAGTATTTTTTAATGAACGAATGAATGATATGTATGAGTTGGGATAAGATAGTATGAAACATAAAATCAGCAAACCGAAAAGGAAACATTCTGGGTCTTTAACTTACGGTCATCACTTTCTACTTTTCGTAAGTAGCTAGAACTCTTTATTTTGTAATGTTCCGAGGAATAAATTTTTTTAATTAGAAAATTTTTTTATATCTTTATAAAAAAGATATAAAAGGATGCTCAACTTCACAAAATTAATAAAATCCAAATCAAAAACAATGAGTTGGCAATTTTCACCTAATAGATGGACATAAATTTAAGTTTGATAAAACTGTGTTGGTGAGGGTATGGGGAAACAGGCTCTCTCATTTACTTGCTTTTTATGGGAGGATAAATCGGCAATAAACTATCAAAATATATAATGCACATTCTCACAAACCAGTAATTCAACTTTTAAGAATTTATTTTATAGATATGCTGACACAGTATGCAAACATATACTTACAAGAACATTTGTTGCACCATTGTTTGTAACAGAAAAGACCTGAAACAATTTAAATATTCCATATTCATAGGGGCAAAATAATAGTGTATCCATAGTTTTGGATACAATACTGTTTTTCAAAAAAAATAAGCGTATCTTCCCAAAATACATTAGATGAAAAAGAACAGTTTGCATAATATAAACCCATTTGTGAAAGTGAATAATAAAAATATTCAGAATGTATTTGAAAGAATACATAAGAGACTTAACAATGGTTATCTTTAGTAATTGGGAATGAGGGAATAGAGGGAGAAAGTTATTTTTCCTGCCTTGTTTACCATTTAAATCATTTACTAAGGGTAATGGCAACTATTATATGACTAAAAATTAATATAAACTATGTAGGAAAAGAAATAATGTAAGTTGCAGATACTCACAAAGGACTGATAGCACCCAGTAAGATCACCAAACATGCTCTCATGGGTCTCAGTGAGGCCAAGGTAGCAGCATAGAAAGGTAGTAAGGGTTGCTGAAGTAAGCAACTCTGCACCACTTTAAAATTTTTCCTCACAAAGTCATCTCAGTGATTTAGTTTTCACAAGTATAGCAAATAATGAGAACAGAGA